ACTGAAACCACATATTGAAACCATAAGTTTGCATCGATTGAACCCTATCACATTTTCTGGTTGAAACCACCGATTGAGACCATCAATTGAAACCAACTGCTCATCTCATTTTCCATTTGTTTGTATTCAAACGATTTGTTTCAGTTCGATTCATAACCATTGACTGAAACCATCGACTGAAACCATCTCATTTGAAACCATCTATTTGCAGTTTCTGCTTGAAACCATCTGTTTCCATCGATTTAAACCATCGCTTGCATCTGTTTGACCGATTGAAACCACCGATTGTGTTTGCCATCTGTTGAAACCATCTGTTTGCATAGTTTGTAGAAGAATCATTTATAGATGATAAACAATAGTTATCTGCTTGCCCTCATGATCGATATCTTAAAAACAATTGGGGATTTTTGCCTATATGTTAACATTATGTTCATCCACCTTGAACTTTGATTTATGTCATGTTGGCTAAAGATTATAATGTATCATCATGAGGGTTAAAATGGTAATTTGTTGTCATTCAGAGAACAGTTACCAAACATTCATATTTCATTCAGTACTTAACCATTCTGATCCTCTTAACCATTCTGACCACTTAACTATTCTGCAGCCAACCATTCAGCAACTACCAAACAGCCCCTTAGTGCCTTAGCGCCTACAGTGGGTGCAATTATTCCAGATCGAGCTGGTGGGTTTGTTGCTGGTTCTATTGCAGTGGCTGCCTCATTTGGAGGTGAATAAAGAATCACTTGGCTTTAACAAGTCAGATAAAAACAAAGCGTCTTTGGTCTAACGGTATCTGAGTCTCTTACCTCTTAAGAAGTCATGGGTTCAAACCTTACCAAATATAAGAATGATGTATGAGTTTATTTATTGCATTTACAGTATATAAATTATATTATATACTTTAAAAAAAAAAACTAGTTAGATCAAATGGGTGCTTGCATCATACCTGCTAGTACCTTTATTATATTGTTTGAGGTCTTGGGCAGGACAAGATGATAAATAGAAAGGTTTAATTTGTAGCACTCATTATTAGCTACATGAATTTCATCAATTTTCGTATCGAATTAACGACGTAATTTGATTTATGGTTATGTTCGGATTATGTATGTTATATTGTTTTACACAATAAATGCTTTTTTTTTATTAAAGCATTTGTAGTTTAAGAAAAAAAATCAAAATTTTCAAAAAAGGGTATTTTGGTCATTTATCAACATTTCATTTTCATTCCAAAACTATATTATGTGAACCAAACAAACAAATTATAATTCTTTTAACAGATTTCATTCCAATGTCTCGTAACCAAATGGGTGTTCAGACTTATAACATTTCATTTCAATTTTTTTAAAGTCAAATTTTTTTGAGAGATTTCATTTCATCAAAAAACATTCTATCAATAGCCATTTAAGGCTTAACTTCCATTATAACACGTTATAACGAGTTATTTTGTTAGGCATATGTTTTTTTTCTTTTTTATGCATATAACTTGGGAAGATAAATGAGAATTATGTACAATACCTAAGACTTAAATAAACATTAAAAATTACTATAAACATTAAAACCTTAAATAGGTAAATCCTTACTCTTATTCTTGTACATAGAGTTGAACAAGAATTATTTGAAGATTGCTGAAAGTAGTGAATAAATAATCAAAAGATTTAATCCCCATTTTGCATTCTTGATATCATTTTCTTATAAGCTCGATATCTTTGATATAAATGATTATTCTTTCCCTTTTAGTTTTCTAACTTAAAAAACTAACACACACAAGTATATATATACATATACAGCCATATAGGCGAATAATCGTATGAGAAGAAGAGTTAACGCGAGAAACGTAAGAAGGAACCTGGACCCTTGATCACCTTTTCTCAAACCTTTATTTGTCAAACATTTCCCTTCTCCGACACCCCATTACCACCTCCTTCTCTAGTGCCACACCCCGATGTCCATCTCCGGCACCCCGACACCACCTCGATCTCCAGCGCCCCTAACTCCGTTCACCATATAACTTAAATCCGCAAACCAAACTTCACAGAACCTTGAAGGGAGGTTGGGTATGGTTGGGGCGCTGGTTGACCGGAGGGATGGGTGCGGCGGGACGTTGGTCTCTGGTTTTTATGGTGAAGAAGGTCTAAGAACGGAGTAGAGCTGAGGCCACGGCAATCGGTGGTTTTCACCGGGAAAGAGGGCCAATGAGGACGTTGGGAGGGATACAATAATGTTAGAGGTATAGCTATAAAATGTGGGCCACGTGGCTCAATCTAAATGGGGTATGAAATGATAATAAAAAAACATAAAAGACAAAATTTTATGATGATATAGTTACATTTTGGCACGTGTCTAAAAGCAGTTGCAAATCAAGCAAAATTGACAAGGAGGATGTACTAAATGAATCTGATTAGTGAAGGAATTAGAAAAATAACACAAGTAGTTAAAACCTGATAACGAATCTCTACCAATTCCAGTCCCAGGGCGTTGGACCACCATAGGTGGGTTAACGAGCGCCCCATGTAACCAAACCAATCGAGTATATGTCAATCAAAATTACAGGTTTGGAAAAAGAAGTGGCCTATGTGAATTCTTTTCTAGTTAGTATCTTTCTAGTCAGTCAGTATCTAAAGCAAAAGTTAGCGTATACATGATTCTTTTCTACTAACATTAATCTGGTAACATGTACAAAAATTCTAACGGCCTACCCGTATCCTTGAAACACCGGTGGTGGTGGTGACTCGTAACGTGAACCGATGTGGGGTGGTAGAATGATGTCTATGAATGGTGGAGGAGATTGGACAGGTGGTGGTGGAGGAGGAAACACTGGGGATGGTGGGGGTGGTGATTGGGTTGGTGCAGGAGGTGGAGGGGAGGGAGCTGGGGGTGAGAAAACGGGTGGTGGCGGTGATTGAACTGGTGGGGGAGGTGATTGAACTGGTGGTGGTGGTGGTGGTGGAGAGTGAACGGGTGGTGGTGGTGA